GATAATCATGATTTTAGGTTCATAATTAATTTTAACATGTATGGGCATGTTTAGATATTTTTTAAAAAATTATAATTTTGAGTTCATAATTGATTTTGACATGTATAATAGGTGTTTAGATATTCTTTTTTGAAAGTGTGATTTTGGATCCATAATTAATTTTAATATGTAATATCGGTGTTTGGATATATTTTTACAAAACCATGATTTTACCTTATTTTTAATTTTTCTTTTCAGTGGTAATTAAAATCAATCTTATTAATTAATTTTATAAATCAATTATATACCACATAATACAATAAATTATATTCCAAATCAATCACATTAATTGATTTTTTTCGTAGTCAATTATGCCTAATTAAAATTTAAACACACCTTTTAGGTTTACTTGTAACATGCATGTCAGTCAAGACCCATTTTAGGATCAATATTCACATTTATAACATTTGAAGAAACCGAATGATGTTACATATAGTTTGTGGTTGGGGAATTAGTCAAGAAGTACTAAATCTTCTCAACATGGACTACTAGCCAAAATGAGTGGAGTCTCTTCAGTGATGAGCCTTTTTTATTTGTCAAAAGTTGGTAGGCCTTGTGCCCAAAAATGGTTGCTGTCTGTTTGACTGCTTCAGCGTCTTTAATGGGGCAGGGACCCTATAAATTAGGGAGAATTATCAACAAACATTACTCTAGTTAATAAAAAGTTAACCCACAAATTATAAAATTATAAAATTAAATTTTACTGTTAATATAAAATTTTTATTAGTGAATAATATATAAGTACTCTTTAAATTTAAATTTAGAAGCCCTGATGAGCTCTTACGATTCAACTTAATTTTTCTTTTAAACAAGCATGGGAGAATTATGTACAGTTTCAAACAAAAAAATTGATTACCTACAAATTCTTTGCAATTGTAAATACTGAAGTTTAATATGTAAATATAAAATTTTGATATGTAAATGGACTAAAAATAATAATAAATTTTCTTATTCAAAACCTGATGGTAATTTTCCAGTAAAACTTATAACATGAATTTATGATTCACTAAGGATCAAAGATTGGCTGTATAATGTTTGTATTCGTTTGTGAGTTTTAACCTTCATTAATCTCCACAATTAATCCGTTGTATGTCAAAGACCCAAAAAGAAAAGGATAAATTGTGAATTAAATAATGTAGTCGAATTAGTGGGAATTAAATCATGCCATGACCCCATTGGTAGGAAGCAGTCACTTCAACTTGAAGCAAGTCGTGATCCCTTCAACATATCACGTGCCCTCACTTACGTTCCCAACAAATCTTTTCCCTGCTCTCTCTCACGCATGATCTCCACACCACACTTGTGTTGTTAACGAGGACGGTTTGTCTTTTGCAAAGCCCAGCCCATGCTTTTGTCATAGCATCACCTTAACCTAATGTATATATCATATGCTAATGATACTTTCAATCCCATTAGTTTCTTTTAGTTATTGGTTCAGTCTTTTAAATTTAATTTGTATCTTTTTGGTTTTTTAAGTTTACCTTATCAGTTTAGTCTGTATTATTGTTTAAAGAAGAATTGAAGTGAAAATGTTAAAATTTATTGACATAAATAATACAATATTGAAGAAATGCCGTAGATTAAGTAAAAGAAATGTAATTATTTAGGTAAAAAATAAAATTTAAAAATTTAAAAATAAAAAAAAAACATATTGTAAGGGACTAGATTAATAAAAATTAAATTTATTTGAAAGCTAATTTGTTCTTATTTAACTATGTATATATATGTGTGTGTGTGTGTGTCAAGTCATCTATAAATTTAAACATATTAGATTTATTTGAGATACAATTTGTGTGTTAAAATTTAAAGAACTAATATGATAATTTTAAAAAAATGTAAATGACTAAACTGATAGTAATTAAGATAAACTTGAGAAATCAAAAATTTTATTATTCTTATATAATACCTCCAATGCATCATTTTATTAGATGCTTTAAGAAAAAAATGATTCAGCAGTGAAATTTATTCTAAAATTATTCTTATTTTTCACTTTTTAAATATATTCCTTCTCTTATTAAATTAAAAGTATTTTTAAAAGTTTACATTTGTTTTGAGAAATTAAGATTCCAGACATTATCAAGTTATAAGTATTCGCAGTTTTACGAAAAAGAAAAGAAAAGAAAGAAAGTCTTGTTGTACCTACCTTTATAGACACACATATTATTTAAAATTTAAAAAAGAATATAGAGGTATTTTTTCATTAACATGATTTAATTTATAAACATCACAATATAATCTTGCCACGTGAGCCTGTAAAACCCTCAACTATTCGCTTAAATTATAAGAGCCCCTATCAGAGTAGTTTTTGTTTTTGAGATCCTATACAATGAACGCAAAAATATATATCTAGTTTGTTTATAAATCTATTTTTACCTAAAAGTATTATATTATTAAGCTAATTTTCAACGTCACAAGGGATTTAAAAAATGCTAAATTTGAATGATTTAACTTAGCGTTTTTTTGGCAAAAGGATGTAATTAAACTACCCGCAATTTACAAGTAAACCAGATGAATAAATCAACGATACATTCTTAATTAACAATTAATATAAATAGAAATGAGATTCATTGAAAAAAAAAAGCAGAAACAGCGATTTAAATGTTATAATAAAGAGGAAGAAAACGAAAAATTTAATATTTATTTTATCACTAAAAATTTTACTTTCAATTTCAATGTTATTCTTGAATTTGATGAATTATAAAAAAGTATTAGATAAAATAAATAGTGTCTTAGTAACAACCAACATAATTCCTATTAATATTTGACACTACAATAATGCATGAATGTGCTGTCGCGCAATAACTTTAAAAAATTATGTGAAGTTTTAGTTGAGCAATGATACAGCCCCAAATAATTTTATAATTCTATAATATACCATATGGCTAAGGATTACATACTTTTTTAAGCATAAAAAGTAAACTTTGGCAATAACAAAAAATATTTACCCTAAAATACTGAGAGCAAAGGACAAACAATTTCAACTAAATTACTAGCATATACTTCTTCTATTTAAAAGTATAAAATATATTAAATTTCACCCTTTAATAAATTAGTCATTTATTTTTAAATTAATTTTATTTTTTATATTTATTCTTGTTGTAATAGAATGTTTTACCTTAAAATAAATATAAAATAATTTATTTAATAGGAATATTTTAAAAAAAAATAATTATATCTTGAAAGATTAAAAATATCTTATATTTTTTAATATTTAATTCTCTTAAAAAATGTTTTAAATTTTTAAAGGGAAGAGGTATTATATAAGAGTTGAGATTCAAATATTTAATAACTTATTTCGGTGATAAGAATCCTCACCACTTAGGATGAATTTTAATTGAATAGTGAGAATTACATATTTTGTCCCGTGATAATGATTTTATGTGGCTATGATTTAATGGGAGGCAATCAATCAAACAAACAAACTAAAGATAAGCCTGCACGAAAAGACAAAGAATATATAATTGAAAAGGCCTTCTTCATAATGACAAGAGACTCCCCACGTCATCCATATTGGTGTATACATATCAACAAACTAACCACTATATTTTAAAAGTAATTTTTTCTCATTATAAAATGTGTTTTTTGATTAGTTAACTTTTTTCTCGTTGAATGTTCAATGAATTTTTATTGAGATAAAATATTGTTGCTTGCACAAAAAAAAAACGACAAGTGAAGTAATTGATTTCTCTATCTAAGTTATAAAATATTGAGCGCTGAGACTGTAATTTGTATACTTGATCCTTTTAAAAGTCCATGAGCTATGATCAGAAATTCTTGATAGGTATGTCACCGAAGAGAAAAGATACCGCCGTTGCCAAACTTGTGAAACAACATATAGAAACTGAACAAGAAAAGAAAACACCCAAAAGTAGCATTCCATTAATTTCATAAATTATTAATATTTAATATAATTATTGGCGGAACCATCCAATAATTAATTTTCTTCTGAAAACTTCCTGCAAGTTTTATTTTTTTATTTTTTTTTTCACGGATGAAAATTTATCCATACCCACAGTTATTCTCATTCACAAGCAATCGCAATCCAACAACCTACAGCCCATTTGGAATGTAAATATAAAAAGCGGAAACTTACTTTAATATATAAAAAGTAAAATATACCCTCCGTATGATATGATGCTAAAGTTATGATCACTCAACAGTCAACATCATTGTTACTTTTCTATTTAGAATTTAGAAAGCTAAAATATCATTCTCACTTATAAAATTACTTTTTATTTCGTCCTGTACTGCTTGTAAAACATGCCTATTATATATTTACATTTTTGAGAGTAACATAATTATTTTTATTGCATTTTTAAATAACAAAGACAACAAGACTGTTTCAAAACATTCCATCATAAATAGGCTATGTTGATTGAAAAAGCCACGTTTAGAATATTAAACTCACTAATATAGAAAAAACCTGCTGGATTTTCTCATCTTCGATGTTTAATATATATCTGCAATTCTAGGTAGTCGCATATTTTGCACTCAATAATTTTAGTACAACTTATTAATATATTATGTAGTTTTTATGTTAAATACATTATAAATAATATAAAAATATTTGCTTGATCTTCCTTTCATTTTTCCCATTATTCCAACTGAACAAGCTAAAGAAACAGAACAAGACACTCAACTAAACGTATGAGAATTTCCTTCTCCGACCACAACCACCCAAAACTTAAATAAAACAATAAAAAAAAGGTGAATTTTCCGACTATACCAATTATCTTTTACCACGTGTTGCGATCCCGGTAAGTGATGAGTCAGTATTTCTAACTGCCACAAATTCCAGATGAGCACCTTCTCTGTGGGTCTCATCTCCTACTGCTCATAGTACTCTAAAAAATTATTTCTCCATCATTACACCCAATCAACGTCTTCCACGTGTCTATTCCCTTTGCTTTTCTTCGTTCCGCCATTGTTATTTATTCCCACTTCAGTTCAATCATTTTCCCTCCTGCTTCTGTTCTAGTTGCCCTTTCTTCTCTCTCCTTCTGTCTCTCTCTCTATTTTTTGCTTCCAAAGCAACCATGGAAGTTCTTGTAATTCAGAGATTCAACGATTTTCAGATTGCTTCTTCTTCTCTCGCAGGGATTCAATCTGTTTCCATAGCCTACAATTTCTGTAAATGGAGTGCTGTGATTCTTGCTCTGGTCGCCGCCTTTGGGGGTATCGTCAACAGAATCAAGATTCTCATCCTCAGATTGCTCCACGAGACTCATTCTCTTGCCTCCAGTAATCTTCTCAGCAATCTCGACCTTGATGATTATAGCAGCAGCTCCGACGGCGAGGACGGAAACTACTCGTCACCGTCGACTGTGTCATCGGAGTGCGAAGAAGACGAAGACGAGCAAGCTGTATGCTCGGTATCTTTCCAATGGCGGCGCGTGGATGAAGATTTCCTGGTCAGAGGCTCCGGTTACCAGCTCGACGACCGGTTGCAGAGTGGTAAAGTGAGGCATCGACGACGCCGTAGTATCGGAGAGATTTTTTCACTGTCGGAGATCGCGAACAGCAAGAGCGTGGTGAAGCTTTGGGATAGCATAGGATTTGGGCTGGGATTGGACTTTGACGATTATGAATCCTCTTGCTCCGCTGCCGCCGTCGCTGGAGCCTTGGCGGCCGGCGAAAAAGCATCGATCCCAGCACAGTCTAGCTTGTCTCCAGCGGTTGTCGTTACGGCCGGAGAAAGCGCGTCGAGAAATTTGGCTGTGGCGATTTGGGACATGCGCCTTCGGTGCCGGACGCCGGCTGTGATCGCCGAGTGGGAGGCTAACGAGGGAAGGATCGTAGGCGTAGGATCCGGCGGGGTAGAGAAGGTGTACGTCAAAGATGACGTCCGTTGTGGTGTCACGGTAGGTGATATGAGAAAAGTTACGTCGCCGTTAGGTATGGTGACGGAATCTGACTTGGATACGTGGTGGGATGAGGACGCAGTTATTGTTTCCGGCGAGTCTGACGAGTCAGTTTTGCGGCGGCCGTAAACTGAGACTTTCTGAATTTTCTAATTAATGGAAGATGATGCCTGCTCTAAATAAATTTTATTTGTATAGTTAAATTAAACAATTAATCGTAAATGTATTAAATGGGAAATATTCATGCATAATAATTTATTTTCATTTAAATTTAACTCTAAAGAGAATAATATTGACTCCCGTGTTATATTTTTTGTAAGAAAAGAAAATTATGCAATGAATTCTAAAAAACTTGAGCGAAATTAGAAAACTTTTTGCTTTCGCGCAGTAAAATATTGGAAAATTATAATCTAAGAATTCGTGAAGAGTCTTTATGTCACATGTACTCTTTTGGTACCTGTCTAGAAATGAACTTTTGAGAGAAAAGACATAATTAATCTTAAAATTTAATAATTTAATGAGTTATTATTAATTATATATGATTACTTGTCAAAAAAATAAATATTTATTTATATAAGATCAAAATATATATAATTGTATTATTAATTATAATTAATTTTTAATTTTAAATGAGTTATTAATTACATTTAATTACTTGTCAAAATTAAAATGAATGTCTGTTTATGCAAAATTAATTAATGTAAAATTAAAATTATACTATCAATTATAATCACTTGTTAATTGTTAATTTTGAATAAATAATTATTAATTATATAAAGTTACTAGTCAATGCCAGATTAAATATTTATTTTTGTAAGATCAATACTTATATAATTAAATATGTGCGATCTGTTATTGCAGTCTGTTCATTTACAAATGAATTAGTGTTAATTACATATAATTATTTGTTAAAAGATTCATAAAAACTGAGAAATAATTAGATTTTTTTTTATAAAATCTTAACTTTAAATAAATACATGGTTTCGGAGTCATCAATCGCTTCATAGGCTGCTTGGATGTAACGTTGTTTTTATGTTTTGAAAGATTCTTCGTCCCCTTTCTGTCTCTTCTTCTTCTTCTTTTTAATCAACGCTTTCTGGTCTCTTCAAAAAAGAGCGTTGGAAGGTCGACATAGATGATAAGGTTCAATGATACGCTACTTCTAGTTAACTAGGGAGTTTTTTAAGTAATGAAATGAAATGGAGTGGAACAATGATTGAAAATTTTATATATATATATATATATATATATCATTACTTGAAATTTTTTTTTTAAAAGTAAGTGGAATGATTCGGGATAAGCTTCTATATAAGCCTTACTTACCCATCCATAACTTAATATAAATATAAGATAGAATATCAATTAAGGACCTCTAAAATAATTTAATATTAGACAATGACTTACAACAAATAAACTTTAACAATTGACAATTACAAAATTAAGTTTTGACAAATATTTGAACCGTCCAAGTCTCTATTTGATATTAAATTATTTTAATAGTGCTTCATTCATATTCTCTACAAATACAATTGTTTTAAACTTATCATCATTGTCTCACCCTCTCTGAAGGATAAAAATAAATTAACTCGAGTTAGGTTTTTACCTTTATGATAGGTTAGAGATGTCATGCCCCATCAAATAAGCGTGATTGGCACAAAGGACAGGAAAAAAAACACTCACTTCCTAAGCCTAATAAATAAGTTAAAAATGAAAATATTTAAGAAAATCAATATACTTTAGTTGGAACAAACTATGAGAACTTTTCCCTCAATCTTTAAATAATAAAAATCAAAGAAATGTGTATCTTGCTTATAGTTTTTTTTTCTTTCAAACAACTCTTAACTACAACGAAATCATAAAACAAGTTTACCATAAATTCAACTTTACCATGGCACTTATCACAATTATTCAACAAGGGAATTCTCTTTATAATGTAAATGTAGGAGGTGATACATTTCTATTATCCGAGATACAAATAATTTAATTGGTACATGATAACAAGAGTCATTGTTAAAATAATTAAAATATAAATAACAAATAAAGGAAAAATTAATTTTTTAGTTTTTTAATTTTTAACTTACCTGTAACTCAATTCCTCAACTATGACTCGTTTCGACTTAATCTATCAACTTTTTACTCACTTATAAGTGGAAGAACTGAGTCATAAATAAGCTAAAAGTTGATGGATTGAGTCATAGTGAGTCGTAGCTGAGAAATCAAGTTATAAGTAAACTAAAAGTTGAAAGATTAAAAAATTAATTTTTTTTTCATAAATAAATAACAAATCCAGTTTAATTTCTCAAGACCAGGGCCATACCTTGATAATTTTAAATCCTTAAAACAATAAAGTACATACAAATCAACATGGATGCATGTTTACCAATACAATACTCACATGATATAATAGATAAATGGTATTATTAACATGTGTACGAAAAAAATCTCCAAACTTATTATAACCAAATTTGACTACATTTGTGATATTAAAGATAGAAATAAACAAGCGGTTGAAACATATTTTCGAACTCATTATAGTAACAAAATAGACATTGTAATAGAACTTCTGGAATCAATTTATCCAAAAATTTATAATATGAATCCCTTTTCAAAAATGGAAATTTAGAAGGGGAAAAACAACACTTTTTCTTAAAAATAAGTTCCTTTAGAGGAATTTATATAGCACGAGATTTTTGTCATGAACACACAGTCTATATAGGTAAATCAATAATCAAACATGGTTTAATAGACCATGAAAAATAAACATGAACACATAGTTTACAAAGACAAATAAAAAATTCAATGTGACTTAGAGCCATGAATATTAAGCGTGGCACATAAGTCACGAATAACAGGCGTAGCACATAGGTCACAAATAATAGGCGCAGCTTGATGGCTACATATAATAGGCATGCTATGTTTGGTTCCTCCATAAGTATTCCCACGGATATAAAAAATAACCCTTCAATATATGAAAATTTTTATTTTAAAAGAATCTAAACCACATCCGTAAGTCCTTATTCCCAAACTTTCTTCCATAAACTCTTATGTGCTTGAAAAAAATTCTTTCAGAAATAAAAGGATTCTCATCATTATCTTGATTTCAAATATTCATCAAATAATTGCGACAATTCACTTTCAACTCTGTATCCAAATACTTTCTAAGAACCCTTTTAGTTCGATAAGGCCCTTTTCAGCAATGGATATTAAATAATACTTAATTCTATATAATTCTTTTCTTAAACATTTCATTAAGATTCTCTATAAAATGTAAGAGAATGAAAATATGCATGCTTGACAACTGAAAACATAACGACATTCTAGTTCTAACAAAACCCACAGGGTTCAAGGGCACTCCTCCATGCCTCCGATACTCTACTCTTATAAATTTAATAGCACATATTTAATTACTACTTAATCTTTGCAATGATAACAACTTTATAATATAACCAAGAACAAGACACACACATCTATATATTGTGCTCCCTTTCTCAATGGGAAAAAAAAAAATCATCCTATGGATCTTTCTTTGATAATCAGAAATTGAATTCTATTGAACAACTTCAGCATTTTTTTTTTTTGAAAAAATTCAATTGATACTTGAGCATAAAACACAAGATAGCACTTATGTATATAACTTGACATTGAAAGATCCTTCACATCTATGATTCTTCTTGTCAATATGTAAGCCCATTTGAACCTTGCGGTCATGTCACCCATTTCTTTCTCAATTCATTCGTGGTCCCTTCCCTTTACAATATTCTTCCTTTGTCCCTAATATAGGTCTAAATTTTTGAAAACATATGAACCAAGGGAACACTAAACCTAGGTGATGTGCAAGAATTAGCTTTCTTTCTAATCATAAGTACAGTAATCACACTCAATAGCTCAACCCAATATATATTTCCGTCCTTACACATTTAATCAAAGTCTGGTGTGTTTAATTAATATCCAAAAATTCATCATAAATGAAGTAGTTAGGGTTATTAATGCCATTAATATTTGATTGGGAGTTCAATGGAGTTAATATGATCTAATGGGAGCTAGTGAACCCAATAGGTATGTTTAAAAGTAAAAAGATTAGGCTTTTAGGAGTTTCAAGTGTTGAATTAAGGAGCAAGACTTGTGAAAATCATGGTATTGATGATTTTGATGTGGTAAATTGTAGATTGAATTACATATCGGCACCATTTAAACTTAGCTTTATAAGTGTTTTATTTTAAGGGATAAACCTTTGACTTCTTAAAGGTTAAAAGTAATTAAGGAAATTTTTCTTATACTTTTGTGTGTTAATTTGTTACTTTGATTTATAAATTATCATTGAAATTTGTGGAAATGTTTGTAAAGCAAGTGTGGCATGATGCAATTGAAAATGCATATTTGGCACGATTTTTGAGTTGATTGATAAGCTAAATGTTTATGTGAAACAGGTAGTATGATACTTGATTTGTAAGTCATATTGAAAAATGACTAGAATTGTGAATAACTTGAGAAACGTGGAGTTCTATGATAAGTTATAATGTGAAAATTATGTAATGTGTTGTGAAGTAAATATGTGCAAAGTACAATGACGCAATTTGGCACACTAAATATGTTTAGTTATATGCATGCTATAAATTGTTTACACATGTACTTTGCATGATCATGTAATGTGAGAGTTTTCCTTAAAAGAGGAATAGTGAGTTAAAATCTAGATGATATGGTCACCATTCGAAGCTCAATGACTTGCCAAGATATATTTATATTTATTGTTCCACTTGTTTAATGAAGAACTATCCCACGGTTCATCGAGGAACTATAACCTAATATAGTTTTTACTTGTTCAATGAAGAAGCTAGTTCAAGAAGAATGACACTCTATAATGTGAGATTTGAGAGAAATTATGACCCACAAGTAAGTTAAATAACCTTTATCAGATAGCTTCTCACTTGTGAAAGGCTAGGATAGTTTTATGTAATGCAAGGGGAACCATAACCCCCTACCCCATGGCACAATGACAGCCCCCAACCTTCTACCATCACCTTGTAATATATATCCCAATTCTCTCATCCCATTTCCAGATTTTCTCATGTCTCACAAACATTCTTCAGGTAATTTCTCCCAATTAAAATAATCTCCATATTATATACATCTTTTCAATCATAACATCATTAAATACTTTATATAAATATCTTAATAATGATAATCAAAATTTCGTTGCATAATTTTTTTCAAAATAAGTAATAAATAAAGTAGGAGTATAGTTGAAAAATAATTATAAAAACAATACAATGTCATA